TGATACGATTACACGAGAAGCATAGGAAAATCTGATAAACGAATTCCGCATTTTTTGGAGGAAATTAGTAAAAAGATATATAATATTATCTCTTCCTCTAAAACTATAGCYGTTTAATATTCTAAAGAAATTGTCGATGATATTTTAGATAGTCGGGTTGACATTGTTTCTAGACTTTTCTAAATGATGGAAATGAAAAATAGGTAGTGAATTCTAAATTTCTAACTTGGCGTTCTCCTATGAATTTTCAACATACAAATRATAATTATTATCCCTATTATKAATGTACACTGTAAAGGTATAACTGTAATATAAACTGTCGTTAATTTGTTATGTGAAATGACGTGACACTAGTGGATTGAACTACTGAAGAGTGATGAGTGATGACTCAAATGTCACACAATCGCTCAATAACCCGTTGTCTCATACGATAATAATTATTAAAAATTACATATTTATCAAACGGAGGTTGTAAACTTTTGAATATAAAATTAAACTCCAAATTCTGTTTCATCTTCTTTAAATATTTTAGTCTTTATACCTTGGAACTTCATCATTCAGACCTTAAGTAGGTTACAGTAATCGTAATGTAGTATTGAAGTGGCACAATTACTGAGGTGGGAGGCATATAATCCCACCAATATGGCAATATGTGTGTTTTTTTTTGTCACTGGTACCACACCGCATTAGTATATTAATATAATAATAGTTGCTATAATATATTATAGTTTACCTATACTACCTACTTTAATATTAATAGTTATAGAAAATAATTTCCAAAAAAAAAAAAAGTACCTAATAATAATTATTAATTACTAATTACTTTGTCGTATACGCCCATAACAGACGTACACAAATAAATGAACGAATACTAAATATAAGCACTTTTATTAAATCTGACGTCTAGTAGCGATCGAGTCACACGGTCCTTACACTTTGACCAGTCTTAACACTTTTCTATATCTACATATTCTTTATATATTAATCTTAAAATCGAAACACAACAAGCGAATTGATATTTAACTTAACCTAGTTACATTTRACTATGATTAAATTATACCTAATTCAGTGCCGTAGCTAGAAATAGATGGGCCCCAGTGCAAATTTAATCTGTGGCCCCTTTAAAAGCGCACATTGGGTGTGAATGTAGGGGGTGCTGATATAATTGATGGTATACAGATTCGTGGGAGCCTCAGCCCCCCACAGTCCACAACCCYACTAATAATATAATAAATTGCATTGCAATAATTTTAAATTTGTACTTATTTATATTCTGACTTTTTAATTATAATACAAATATAATTAATTAAAATTTTAATCAATTTTTCTTCAATACTTTGTATAGACAAATTAATAACTAGGTAATAATAAAGTTGAAATTGTATAAATGTTAATGTAATCGTTACTCTTTATTTATTTAAGCTATTAAGCAACTATACTGTACATAATATATTATGTATTCAAAACATTTAAAAATAATTATATTATTACATGTTATTATATGGGAACTGGGAGTACTAATTTAAAGCCTGGCGATGCTATATTATACTAAAATAACAAAGTGTTAACGGCATTATCATTATCATTATCATTATATTATGATCWTATTAAAAAAAATTGTTATTAGTATAGATTCTTAATTCTTATGTTATTTTATTTAAGTATGGGCCTCATATTAGAAATTGCAACGCGGGGCCCCGGTGCAATGAACTTGCCCGCACCGCGGTTTCTACGGC